GCGTAGTAGTTACGAATTGGGCTGTGAACCGCAAGGTTAGCAGTTCAAAACTACCAGCTGTTCCGCGGAGGAAAGATGAGGCTCTCTGTTCCCGTAAACCCTGTACAGGGTCGCTATGAGTCGGAACTGACTCCATGGCACATAACCATCAACCACCATAATGTAATCATTTTTTAGGAAATTACTGTAAACATTAAAGTACTTAGAGACAGGCGCATCGTATCTACAATTTACTCAGGAAGCAAACAAACAAACAAAACAAAAAACGTGTAGTACATTTGGAGAATCTAAGAGAAAGATTTATGGGAATTATTTGTTCTAGTTTTGCAGCCTTTCTGTTAAGTCTGAATTCAAAATAAAAAGTTAAAAAATTTTTCTGGAGTCGCTTAGGGATAGAAGCGGCATATTAAGTCACGTTGTTGCTATTTTAAGTGCCGTGGAGTCGGTTCTGATTCATAGAAACCCTATATAGGGTTTCCAAGGAGCAGCTGGTGAATTGATGGATTTGAGCCTCGACCTTAAAGTTAGAAGTCTAGTGCTTATCCCACAGTGCCACACCAGGACTTCTACTAAGTCACGAGGACCAGCATTTGTGGTTACGAATCGGGCTGCTATCCTCCGGGTCAGCAATTCGAAACTACCAACTGTTCCTTGGGAGAACGATGAGGCTTTCTGCTCCCGTAAAGATTTACAGCCTCGGAAACCCTATGCAGGGTCGCTAAGAGTCGGAACAGACATCATGGCACATAACAACAATAACAACTGTAAAAGAATGTTAGAACTGATTTCAAATGGAATACGAACAGAGTATACAGTGAAAGTCATTAGTTTCTCTGCTCTCCTTCTTCAATCCAGAACCCTAAGCCATCTGCACTAGCCGTCCCAGATCACGGAAGTCAATTTCGCTCCACAGGTGCGCAAAAAACCTGCCCCAATGGAGCCGGTTCCGCCAAGTTTTTCCTGTGAGCATGCGCACGCGTACGCAAGCTGTCGCTAACCAATCGGTGTCCACGTCAGCGTCTTACGAACCGAAGGGGCGGGGCGGGCGTTCTACACATGCGCACCGTTGGGCGGGCCTTCTTCCTTCTCGCCGAACGCCGCCAAGATGGTGAGTGTCGCCTTTACGGGCTCCGGGTCTGGCGGCCTTGCTGCTTGACCCTCTTCTCTGTCGGGAAGCTGAGGCACAGAATGGCGACCAGGGAATACTGGGCACCGCTTGATGAATGTCCCTAGCGGGCGGTATGCGGGATTCGGACTCTCCCCGACGGGGTAACCGGAGAGCGCGTGGAGGGCCCCGGCCGCCTTGGCCACGCGTGCGCGCCGGCGGCGCTGGATGGTTCAGGAGGCGGATGGCCAGGCGGGCCTCAGTCGAGCGGGCGGACTAGGGGATGCGGCCTCCTTGGCCCTGGAAGCAGACCTGAGCCTGCTCTCAACTCTGCCACCGTCTCTGCCGGCTTCGTGCAGCCAGCTGTGGCCCCAGTGCCTGGGTGTGTTCCGCTCTCGTTCCCTGTAACTCCGCTCGGCCATTTGCGTTTTGAACTGAGGAATCGTACAGACCTGCCTGCCTCTTGATTAGTCTCGCTGCCTTTTTCGTTGTAGGTGTTCAGGCGCTTCGTGGAGGTTGGCCGGGTGGCCTATATCTCCTTTGGGCCTCATGCCGGAAAGCTGGTCGCGATTGTAGACGTTATTGATCAGAACAGGGTAAGTGTGAACAAAAATTTTAACTTTCAAGGACTTGAGTTAAACAGAAATACTTGGTTTGAGCCTTCTGCCACTTAAACTAGCCGGGCCGTTTAGCCGATTATGAGCTAAAATATTAGTGACATTTAAGTGAGTTCATGTATGTGAAGTTCAGAACCGTTCTAACCACACGGAAAGGATTTTTGTAATTGCTAATTGTCAGTATTTGAGAGCAGTGAACGAACATCAGAATGTTGTCTGAAAACATAAGGAATAAAGATTTAAAAGCCGAGAATGATTACCAGTTTGTCATTTGTTTATTGGTTTGCTTAACACATAAAGCTAGAGAAAGACTGAACTTTCTACTCCTGTCTCAGAAACAGTCAATGAGGCAGAACCGATGCAACAGCACACCAAAGTTGAAAATAATTGCTCAAAATTCATTTAATGATAGAGGAGTGATTTTGAACAAAAAAAAAAAACGAGGTTATGTGGTTTAAGTGGAATTTTAAAGAAGAATGCTTTAAAAAAAAAAAAAAAAGTTTTTTCAGAGCAGCGTATTTCAGAGAACCATAGCTGGGTATCTAACCACAGAGTCAGTTGTTCAAACCGACCAACTGCTCCCTCCTGGGAAACCCTACACAGGGTCTCTATGAGTTGACATCGACTTAACAGCACACAACATTGTTTTAAGTAGTGAGGAATTGATAATGCTGAACAGAATACTTGTCCCTTATGATTGTTGTTAATGTTTTGTGGTAAGGTTCTTTATCTTCTTAATCTTAGGCTTTGGTTGATGGACCTTGCACACAAGTAAGGAGGCAGGCCATGCCATTCAAATGCATGCAGCTCACTGACTTCATCCTCAAGTTCCCACACAGGTAATGAGCAGTACTTTTTTCCCCTACATTTTAAAATGCAATAAATACTTAGCTTAAGAATGACTCACATTGTGAAAATTGAGGTTTACATTGCTAAAAATGGTCTAGAATTATGATTTTTGGTAGTTTGCATTCATGCCTTTAACACTAAATATCATTATATGCCACTGTAGGATAAGCACTGGACTGTAAGTCTGTTTGAATCGTAAGTTCACTGGTTTAAATTCACCAGCTGCTTCTTGGGACTCCTGTGTAGAGTTGCTGTGAGTCGGAACCAACTCAAAGACACTTGACAACAATCATGAACTGAGTGCTTACTCTTGTCATTTTTACCTTAAAAATTTTTAATAGTTGCAATTCAGCAGTATTCACATGTACAGCTGGTAACACCAATTACCGTAGTCATCTTTCCTATTTTCCATGAACTTTTTGAAGTCCCTTGTGTGAAGAATATATAAAAGGCAATTGTTTTGTTACCAATATGTTACCGCAAATTTTTTAAAGTCCTGAAGTGGCTGTAGGATATAGCACCGGCCTGCAAGATCTGTTTGAACTATTATAAGGTTGGTGTTTCAATCTCAGCAGCCGTTCCTTGGAAACCCTATATACAGGGTTGCTATGAATCAGAACTGACTTGACAGCACTTTATTTAAAAACAACAATAAAGTTATTTTAATCCTCTTGGCAGTTTTCAGTGTAGAGTTGTGGACTGGTAACTGTAAAGTCACTATGGGTCTGAACTGATTCAAAGGCACACAGTAGTACATTTGTAGTGACTATATGTAAGTTTACTATTTGGACACGGCATTGTATTCTAGAAGATCCTTCCCTATTCACTTTTTCTCCCTCCACTAAAATTGTGATAGAAATCTATGCTGTGGGTACAGCACTTCACATAAATAGTGCCTGGCATATGCATCGCAAACATGTAGGTACTGGCATTAGAGAACAGCTTTGCCCTCGATCTGCAGTGAATAAATACGTCCATGCTGCTGCTTTTAGATCTTTAAGAGAAGTTGTACAAACTGGTGTCAACATAAGTACACACATTTCAAATGCATTTCCATAACTAAAAGGGAATTATGTTGGCTTGACTCGACGGCACTTAACAACAACAACAACAATGCATTTCTTAATGAAGCGGTGGTGGTTGTTGTGAAGTGCCCTCGAGTCGGTTCCGACCCATGGCAACCCTTAATAGGGTTTCCCAGGAGCAACTGGTGAGCTTGAACCACTAACCCTGCAGTTCAAATGGCTTTTCAATCTGGCGCATTTACCCACAGCACCACACCAAGAGGTGATTAGCATGTCAGTATTTAATCAAGGGTCCTTGATAAAGGAGTATGGTTCAAGACCTTGTCAGTTTAGCAAGCGTCCAGGAGTCTGAAATGACTCAATAGAAACTTAACAATAGTACAACATTATTTTGTTAAAACATAATTCGGGATTTTGAACAACATGCTTATGGAACTAACTACTAACTCTGTAGCAGAGGAGTTTCTGGTTTCTGGTACTTTTTAGAACATCTTTGTAGATATCCCATCAAATTCTGTGTTAAAAAATACTTTTTAAGTTTCTGCATTTTAAAGAACTTTCATTAGGGCCCTAATTTGTTTTTAGTATATTTGCATAACTTGGGATTCTAGTTCTACAAAATAAAAATGTGAGCCAAGAATTTTGTCCTGGTTTTCATACACACAGGAAATAGTTTTTTACACATCCACTATTCTGTGTTACATTGCATACATAGTCAGAGGTGATTTGTATGTGCACACTGGACTAATTTAGGAGGTTTGCCTTAAAATGTGCATCTTTGAAGCTGATTTTCTTGGTCTGTGCTCCTGACTTTCTTAGTGCCCGCCAGAAGTATGTCCGAAAAGCCTGGGAGAAGGCTGACATCAATACAAAATGGACAGCCACAAGATGGGCCAAGAAGATTGAAGCCAGAGAAAAGGTATAACCACTTGAGACTATTTATTTAGACAATTCTGTTCTGTTTCCTTTCTTTCTTTCTTAGAGGTGGGAAGATAGTGCCAGAGGGATCATTTTTTTTTTCTTTTCTTTTTTTTTTTTACAGAAAGCCAAGATGACTGATTTTGATCGTTTTAAAGTCATGAAGGCAAAGAAAATGGTAAGGTTTTAAATTTTAAAGTTCTTGGTGCAAATAATAAAGTATATTTCAAGATATGGGAGCAATAGCTAATTCGTAATTCAGGCAGGTAGCTTCTATGGAGTGTTTTGTGGAGAATGAGAATTCCCATTCATGAACCAATTAGAGGGTCATTACCATTTTGATTAAAACTGAGCCTTATTGAGAATGTAGAGGATTGTTGGAAATGGATTATTTGTAGTCTAGCCCCTAGAGTTTTGGGTACTCATAAACAACCAATACTTTGAAATTTTTCAGAGGAACAGACTAATAAAGTATGAAGTAAAGAAGCTTCAAAGGGCAGCTCTCCTGAAAGCTTCTCCCAAGAAAGCAGCTGCTGCCAAGGGAACTGCACCCACTGCAGCAACAGCGGCTGCGAAGGTTCCAGGCAAGAAGGCGGCCCCTGCAGGCAAGAAGGCTCCTGCTCAGAAGGAGAAAGCTCCTGCCCAGAAAGAAAAAGCTGCAGGCCAGAAAGAGAAACCCGCAGCCCAGAAGGCTGGTGCTCCAAAAGCTCAGAAGGGTCAGAAAGCTCCAGCCCAGAAGACACCTGCTCCAAAGGCAGCAACCGGCAAGAAAGCATAAAGGGCTATTATAAAAGTAATAAAGTATCTTTTGACATGCTAACAATGTTTGTACCTGTAGATAAAAAACCTACTGGTGGAGCTGGAATTAACGAGATAGATTGGTAGAATTGTGTTACCTTCTGAAAAATAGAAAAATCAATCCCTTGACACTGCACTACTACCACTCTACCCTGATTCAGTTGGGTATAGATGGTATAGAACCATTATACTCAAAGTCATAACTGGTAGTTTCGTATGAAATCATGGTTAAGCTGTCCAAAGTAGTAGCTAGTGGATGGAACTGTTGACGTTGTGGCTGGCAGTCCAGTACTGTCCTATAGCACTACCGCAGGACTTGATTATAGGAAATGTTAGGTGTCATCGAATCATAGCAACCTTAAGCACAACACGGTGAAACAACCGGTCTTAATACACTCTTTGAACAATCACTAAGCTTGAACCCTTTGTATTTGCCTCTGTGTTGATCCAATTCGCAGGGAGTCTGTCTCACCTTCGAGTTTACTTAGCACGATGTCCCTCCTGATGAATCTGAAGTATGAAAGGCCATTCTGGCTGTACTGTGCAACAGGTTTTAGTCCATGGTAAGTTATGTAAATTAGTTGTTAGCCTAAAGGTTTTAGGTGGGTTTAAATGCAATAAGGATAAATTTGTCCTAAACGCCTTGGATTTGGTTCTGACCTATAGCAACTCTATAGTGCTTACAAGGAGCAGCTTGGTGGGTTTGAACTACTGACCCTACAGTGCCACACCAGGAGTCCATAAGGATAGGTTGGTCTTGGTTGTTTTGAGGTTTAAAGTTGGGTGACGTAAAGGATACAGGTTCAAATCTACCCAGAAGCACCTCTGAAATAAGGTGATGGTTGTAGGTTATCTAGTCAGTTTCCACTTAGTGATGATAGAGTTTTGAACACAGCTACTTGCCCAAAAAAATCATCTACTCTTAAGTGGCTGCTGAGCACAGTTTAGACTCAGCAAGTTTTTGGTGTTTTTACTACAAGAAAAATACTGCTTTCACTTGTAATCAAGTCAATTTCAACCCATAGCAACCCTGTATAGGGTACCTGAGGAGCAGCTGGTGAGTTTGAACCACCAACCTTGCAGTTCAAACAGGCTTTGCAATCCAGTGGATTAACCCACAGTGCCACACCAGGAGTCGTTAACTGCTTTTAAGTTGGTTTCAAATTTTGCAACCCTCTGCACAGCTGCATGAAACACTACTTGGTACTGTGCCAATCCACCTCCTTATTTGTCCCTCTTTCTCATTGTCCTTTCACTTTACCAAGCATGATGTCCTCCAGGAACTGGTTCCTGTTGATCCCATGTTTTGCTGTCATGGCTTCAAAGGAACATTCTGGGTGTACTAGCAACTGATCTGGCTGTTCACAGTACCTTAAATATTCTTCTGGAACTCTTAACTCATATATTCTGTAGTCTTATTCACTGTCCCGGAGTCCTAGTGTGGCGCTGTAGGATTGCTTATCAAAACCATGAGGGGAGTTAAACCCACCAGCTATTCCTTGGAAACCCATACAGGGTCACTGTCAGCTCAGCACCTAACTCATTGTCCCACTTTAACATGCCTAAGTGATTGAATCCGGCACACCTTAGTCCTCAGACTGTCTTTGCTCTTGAACACTTAAAATGCTGCTTAGAGAATGGCACAAAAGAAAAGGTACTGTAAGATGGAAAGGAATCAGATGCGAAGAAGAGACTTAGGTACTGTCAAGTTGGTTCTTAAGCAGGGACCCTGTATAGGATTTCTGAGGAGAGTAGCTGGTGGATTTGAACCACTAACCTTGCAATCAGTCCAGTGCTTATCCTACATATATATTGTGCCACACAGTACTGTTGAGTTGGTTTCAACCCATAGTGATTGCATAGGGTTTTTGAGGAGTTGGCTGGTTAATTTGAGCCATGGTCTTTGCGGTTGAGTGCTTATCCTACAGGGCTGCACCAGGACTGGTTATGCACCTGGAGTTGGTTCTGATTTTCAGCGACCCTGTACAGGGTTTCGGAGGCTATAAATCTTTACGGGAGCAGAAAGCCTCTCCCGCGGAATCACTGGTAGTTTTGAACTGCCGACCTTGAGGTTAGCAGCCTGATAAGTAACCACTACGCTACCAGAGCTAGGGTTTTGATAATCCAGTGGAAGGGGAGTGATGCTTTAGATTTGGACTATTGCACTGGTAAACTGAGTCTTTATAGGCGCAAGAGTGAAAGTTAGATGGTGGTTTTAAAACTTGGCATCATAAATGGTCTAAACCAAGAGTGAGCAGGTGATGGAAAAAAACTCCTTATTGCAAGTTTCAGACTTTTGTCACCAGTACAGTTTTCCATTTCTTAAAACTACTTACTAATAAGCACCTGTGGTCTTCATATGTCCTGTGTCCTTTCATATCTTGGGGTCCCAAATACCAACTTGCCATAACCTGAGGAGCTCTGGTAGTGTAGTGGTTACAAATCAGGCTGTGAACCTCAAGGTCAGCTGTTCCATGGGAAAAAGATGAGGCGTTCTGCTCCCATAAAGATTTACAGCCTCAGAAACCCTGTACAGGGTCACTGTGAGTCGGAACTGACTCCACAGCACACAATAACAACATAACCTGAACTGACCTCAGCCTTGAATTGGGCTGGCCCAGAAAATTCCCTCGGAAGCAACTGTTTATGATTGAGTTTGCTCTCTGGATCATACTGGTGTATTCAAGACATCCTTGATTATGATTTGAATAAAATCATCTTCATTAGTTTGATCTTGCTTAAAAGACTAATTGAAAGAGCTCTGAGCTGTATGATCACCGTGCAACACTTTGTAGGTCCCTTTTATGAACACACCCTGATGAAACTAAGATGAGTGCAGTACAGAGATCTGACTACAATCATCCCCTGGGCGCAGAGACATGCTTAAGCACATTTTTTTTTTTTTTAATCTGGGCATGTATGAACTGGAACCCTAATAATTTTTTACTTAGTCTCGTATACATACAATGATACAAATTCTGTTATTAGTTATTCAAATATTAAAGTATATTTTTTGGCTATTGATTTTGAAACAGTTGTCTTAAAATCTCTACAAATACAGAATTATGGTTTTTTCATCTTTAAATATGTTAACAAATACATAAGAGCTGTCAGTATATTTTAAGTCCAGTCTGCATCTCTAATGCAACCCATTTGCATTGCTCCTGTAATTGGACTTATTTCTGTTACTTGTGGTTTCTCTTTGCCATCATCTTTTTTTTTTTTTTTTTTTAATTACCATCTTTTGACACACCTTCCTGACTTTACCTTACTCCCATATTTCTTCCTTTTGCTTTAATCAGCTTGGAAGTTACAAACTTTCTATTCTCTTAACCTATAGAATTGAATTAATACCTACATCTTCTACTCACCTTCCTTAAGCAGTAGAGAGGCAACATTTATTTAGGTTCAGTAAAGTTTTTCACTGGTTTTCTGTTTACTGTTGATTCTCCATTTCGTCTCTTTACCTTAGATTTATTTATTTATTCTCATTTTCATAGACTGAACCCTTAGTGTTGATGAATGATAAACTTTTTATTTTATTGTGAATAATGTATGATAGTTTACATGGAAAACCATTAGCTTTACATTCATCCCATCTAACATATATCGTTTCATTGTCATGGCTGCAATCCCCTCCATGCATCATCAACCAACAAAAGGGTATATATCCGTCAAGCTTGCCCCTTGATCTTCAGCACACAGCCTCTGAGTCCCCAACCGCTCCATTTCTCCATGTCATCGTCTCTACCTCCATCTCTGGCATCATTGTTTCTCTGGGTAGGGTCCCGCACTCCACTCTTCTCTCTTAATGGTCCCAGGGACCTCCGCTCCTGGACTGCAAAGTCAACCACGCCCTTCCTTTTGCTACAAGACGTCTGCCTGTACATTTCTCACCCTCACAGTCAGTCATAGCAGTTATTCAC